TTTTTTTTTTTTAATTTAATATTTTCTTTAATTTTTTTTTAATATTCGTTATTAGGCTATGCTCATGCCTTTATTTGTACTTTTACTTGAATTAATCTTTATTACTTGTTGGCCCAAGCATGTGTTTGAAGCCCACAAACCCGATTCCTGCACTTGCTTCCCGCTCCCTCAATTTGTGTTTTGCAACTGAATATGTATGTATTGAGCTGTTAACAGTGTGAGTTTGCAAATTTTGTTGTTCCTTGAAGTATTCATGCGTTGATGCAAAAGCCATAAATATGCTTAGCTTTCTGAATTTGAAAGATATTCTTCTGGTTGCATTGCTCGGCAAGGAAGTTGCAATAACCAAGCAAGCCGAGATTGTTCGTTCCATACGGCAAAGAGAGGTAAGTTTTATATATTAAGACAATCGGTGTAAGTTTTCGATATTGAGTTAAATATGACAACACTGGCGATTACTGAAAGCGGTGTCATCATATGGGTGACAGCAAGTAGTGAAGCAAGAAAAAACTTTAACTTCTAGCTAGAACAGTCTTCACAAAAAGTACTTTCCATACAGGGTCGCTTAGTTTATATGGCAAGAGAAAGTGGAAAATTTCCTTGGCCAGAAGCGCTGTGTTAGACGATAATCATTTCCAAATTTCCACAAGCTAAATTGTCAAATATAAAAGTTTTCCTTACAGAATTTCGATGGTTCAGTTTGTATGACAGCCAAATGCTATAATGGTTGGTACTTGGCGCGAAGAGATTTGGGTGCAAAACTTCAGATAGATATCTCAAAATCAGGTGGGGTAGTTTGCTTAGCAGATAGACAGATAGCCGACATTGCTAAATCGTCAATCCATTATATATAAGTATAGACTTTAAGAGCCTCCGACGTTTCCTTCTGGATATTCACTCTTGAGGGTATGAAAATATAGTCTTTAAAAATCAACAAATCATAACAAGAAAGAGAGAGAGAGAGCGGAAAGGGAGGTAGAAATCTGGCAGAAGCTAAAAAGAAATGTGTAATGAGTGATGAAGTTAGTTTATTTTCAAACATTTGTGGAAAGTGAGACTAACAGGATCATGTACTAAACCTTACTGTGAAGTTAATTAATTTCAAGTAATCCCTTAAATTTCATATAATTAAGTTCTATTTTTCTTAACTAACCTCTCTAAGCTGGTTATTTATGCTACTTAGACCCGGAATAATTTAGTACGAAACGAACTAAATACTTTCGAATCTCTAGTTTTGTTGTACAAATTTTGAAAGCTTTGAAAGTCTTATGATAAACGAGCTCACAAAATTATCCATAAGATATTTCTATGCCTTCATCTTCATCTAGTATTCCACAAAACCTAACGTAAGTGAGGTAATTGTGAAGTTGTTCGACTCAAAAATTTGTATAGTTTTAACACATGGCCAGTCTCTTATGCCTACACACAATTTCAAAGAAAATGCACTAAATTTATGTCTTGGACATATAGGAGAAGCGTTATATGGAAAGTAATGATTAAACCCATTCGTCTACTGAATAGGAGTACATATACAGCCTCCAAATGAGATTGCACACTCAGTTTGGGCATGAATTATTATACTCACATTTTAAGTTTATCCCTGAGGTTAATATAAATATGTTATTCAAAAATTAAAGCAAGCAAGTGAAAAAGTATCGATAACAATTTTCGTACCTCAATACTAGTATCAAGCTAACGGGTAAGTACATTTTGAATTTCTTTTTGTAATCAGTTTTAAATATACAGATACCAATTTTACAAATGAAACAATTAAATGAAATGTAGTCTTCTTAGAGTTTATCCGGCGCGCCTGTTTTCCTCTTAACACATTATTTATATTTCAGGTACAAAGGGGGCAACCAAAATTGGCCGTCCGGCCACTATCGCCGAACCTAGTAGCACAGTTGACGGTCAGGCAACGCCAGCCATAGCCGCGGATGAGCCACTTGATTTGGCTGACTTAGATCTCTCACGTTTACGTTTGAGCAAGAAGGATCTAGAAACACTATCCAGTATCACACCCGGTCTACCGAAATGCTTCCAAGAGCAACTACTGGCCAAATTGCCGCCAACACAGGCGCGCAAATTGTCACGCACGTTGAGCATGCAAGGCGGTACACAAACCGTACCGGTTAGAATTTATAAGCGCAGTCAGAGCGGCGGACGTGGTGTGTTACATACCAGTGGTGGACAGGATCTCAAAGAAAAAGGCGCGGAGGAGACCGCTAGCAGCAGTACAACGAGCAAACGTAGCACAGATAGCAGCGAACGTCGACACTATGATCCGGTATATCGACGCAGTCTTAGTCGTACGCGTTACGATTACGAATCGAGTATACCTTCTTCAAGCGATGTGGTGTCGAAAAGTCGGAGCAGCAGTATTTGTCGCGATGATTACGGTAAATCGATGTGCTCTACCTATACAACCGATATCAATGATCGCTACAAATACTACTCACCATATCTTAATAAAACGGCGCCTAAAGATTCGTCTACCGAAAGTGGTTCCGTATCGCCGCAGAAACGTTATAGCACTTTAGGTATACCACGTGAAACAATCAGTTCTACGCAAGGGCGTCCACCAAGTGGTTGCTTATCGCCGCCTATTATATCAGCAGACGGTGGTAACAGCTCATTACGTAGACGCTCTTCGCAGAAGCGTATCTCACGATTTTTGCGACCAGACTTTTTCGACGAACCACTCGATGAGAATCCATTTCAACGTGAAAAGAAGCAGCGTGAACGTGAAACTCAAAGTGTGTTGCGTGAAATACGAGAAAGATCACGTGAGCCTAGTAGAGAACGCTGCAATTACAGCAGTTTTGATGCGGAAGACGCAATGTCGCGTAAAAATAGCTTACCCAATGCGGAGAGCTCAGGTATACCACTGAAAACGGAACCAAAACATGTGCGTAATAAAAGCATGGAACTCTATTCAGAGTATCAGCCGGCTAGTAGTTCATCTCAGGAAACAATTAAGCACAACCGCCGTAATTTGTCGCGTCCACGTGAGATTACTGAGGAGTTACGTAAAAATGAGCTGGCTGATAAGATCTTGGAAGAATTACAATTACTGTCAGCTACACGAACGCAGCAAGATCAGCAGCAGCAGCAACTAAGATCGGCGCTGCCCAGAGAGATTTCGGTAGAGCGCTCTTCGGAAACGACCACAAAGTCGGTAGTCGAGGGGCCAGGCAGTCGTGCCGAAATTGAAGAGTCCTCATCTACAATCAAGAAAATTAAGAAAATAAAGCCTAAAGATAAGCCCAATACAACGGAATCTAGTACAGATGCGGATGCGACCGTCACTACATCTGTAGTAAAAAAAGTGAAAAAGATTGTGAGAAAGACTGAAACCACAAAGACGACCTTAAACGAAGCTGCCACCGCTAATTCGAGTACAACAGAGGATAATACACTCACACCAGCAGAAATAGAACAGTCAAGAAGAGAATCAAAGCTTAAGCGACCTAAATCATATCCAACCAAAGAGCCAAGTACTTTGACACCCAAGTTACCTAATAAGCCAAGCACTATATCAGAAATGACTGCAGATTCAACTTTAGAGGCGTCCAACTCGCAGGCTACGCGTGAAAGCCGACTGATACGACCCAAGAGTTACCCAGCTTCAAAGCTCACACCTCCTAAAGAATCGAGAAAAGTTACGCGTAGCGGTGCCGCAATCCCAACAATAGCTGAGGGCAGGGTAATAAACTCAACGCCTCCACTAGCAGCTGAAGAGAAGTTCGAACCACAGATGTCAACATCACGAGGCGCTGTAGAAACTTCATCTTCGAGTGACACTAAACCAACCACAGTTAAGAAAATCGTGAAAGTTTCTAAAAAATCTAAGTTAGCACAACCACTGCCAGTCACACCCACAACTCCGACTCCAGCAACAACGTCCACCACGACTACGCCAGCAGAAAATTCTAAGGAGTCAAGTCCTGTCGTTAAAGAAAAATCACCCGAAAAGAAACCGGGCAAGGGCCTACTCTATGCTATTGGACAGAAATTTGAGAAACTACGCGACTCTGCTATGAGCAAAGAAAAGAAAAGCGCAACCTCCAGTCCCGTTTCTTCGGCAAACGGCGCGATTATAAAGAAAAAGTCGCCAGATAGTTCATTACCAGACAAAGTAAAAGATAAGTCCACGTTACTTAAAAAGAAAAAATCTTTGGATGGCACTTATACAAAAACTACCGTTGAAAACAATACAACAATTAAGCCACCCGGTACGGAAGGTGAAGTGAAGGAGAAACCAGCAAAGTCGGATAAGCGCTCGAGAATTGACGCAGTGATCCGTTCGTTGCGTGAGCGCTCCGTACCACGGTCACGTCCCGCAACCGAAACAAACTACATCAAGCGCGCCGTCAGCGTAGAGGACATGCCGGGTACGTTCAATAAGAATGCAGTTAACCGCGTATTAGGCCTCTTTAAGCGAAATGATAAGGAAGCAAATGGCGCAGAACGGCGAGTGCAAAGCACGCGTTCTACCAGTAATATTGAACGTCAGATACGCGAAACATCGCCGTCGCCCATTTACCAGAACACGGGCGTGTGTAATCGTTCCAGTAGCATTTCAGCTGCCATTGCCGCCAACTTAGGCTCCGGACGGAAACCAGAGAACACTGCCACATGTAGCTGTGAAATTGCACCGACGCCTAGAGTTAGCACAGAAGATAAACAATGTGTCGAATGTTTACAGGACGTCGTAGCGTTACAGAAATCCAAGAGCAGTCGCGATGAGAAAGATATCGTATTGCCTAGTAAGGAAATGACGCAGGGCAATAAGGACAAACGCAAGGGACTCATGTTGGACCTTACCAAATTGGATAAAATTGATAATACTACAACGAATCGCAACAACATAAAAACGACCTACATGAACGGTAATGGCATCTACTCGAATCTGCCACCTTACCCTGGTGCCGTGAACAGTTCGTCAAATAACAGCTCCAGTCAGCAATCCATGGATAATGCCACTAATAATAATAACTCGTATATGACTAATAACAATTCATCAATGCAGACCTCGCAAACATCAGGTTATCGCACCTCGTCCACACACGAGATAAATCGAAATCATTTACTAACCCCATCTACTGAGAACATTGCCAATTACTCTTCTGACTCGCGCAGTTATCAAGATGATTGTGCCTCATCTTCGACGTTCCTATCGCCAACTGAAGAGCCTGAGCTCTATTTCGATAACTGGTCTGTGTGTTCGGAAGATAACTACATGCTACACGCTTCACCTTCACCAACCGTATCGCGCCTCTCACGTGCATCGCAGCTTTCATCGCCCACACGTGGTGAAAGCTCCGATCCAAATGAGAGCGTAATTGATCGCATCAAACGTCGTAGTTTCTACTGCCGATTTAACGATAAGAAACCCAAGCGCACGAGTAGTATTGTCGGACCGAGTGCAGTGCGCGACTACTATCGTGAGCAACAGGCCGCCGTGAAAGCGCGTTCTAGCACTAAAGTAAACTCCATTGAACGCGCGAAATCGCCAGACATTACACAAGAGTTCTTCAGACCGTTGAAGTTAAGTCCAGTTGGGACTGAACTGAAGCCACCCATTTACAAGGCGCCGCTAGACTATGCCACCAACATCACAAAACCGCGTAAGAGTCTCAACGATATAAGGCCGACCACATCACCTTCATTGATTAGCAAACGCTATGGCTCTACTGCAGATAGCGATTATATGTCACTAAATAGCGGCGTGCCAATACGGTACAAATCATCTGCCAGTTCAAGTCCTTACGAGAGTAAAGGCTCGTCGGCGACCGGTGGCTTGAGCATGGGTGTAGGCACCGGCATTGGCGCTGGTACAGGCATCGGTGGCAGTTACTACAATACCTACAGCCCAAAACGACGTTCCTCATATACATTCAATGGCACGCTGCCCAGTGGCGCTACACTCACCAATTCCACTTTGGATGGTTACGCGACGGTGGGTCGGCGACCTATACGCGCCTACGATCATCGCACCATGTCACTGCTCGATCCTACAACCACTCCTCCGTCGACCGGTGTCAGTAGTTTTAGACGAGAGGCACGCACGCCAGTACGGGACTACACTTCAAGCATTTCGAGGTAAGTTGTCGCACTTACTTAAATTTGTGACACACCATCAATTTTTTCATTTTCTAATCGCTTCTAGATCGAGTTCACGTTATCGAACCTCGTCGGCCACACGCAGTCCAACAAACATTTGATGTACAACACCGCAGAATGGCTTCTGTATCTTCTGCTATTACTCGAAACGGAATCGTGGCAGCAGCACGCATACCGCTTCGTCGTCGGCGTCCTCGAGGGCTAGTGGCGACAAGAGACTGCAGGAATGCACAACGCGAATTAGAAATAAGTTTTAATTCTACTACGACAAATAGTGTTTACTAAGAAACTAATTTAATTACCACATATATAAACAGTATGTAGGTACGTATAGCGTACGCTTACTTAAGTCTGATTCACACCGAGTGATAAATGTGTATATAGGTCCACATGGAGGTAGAAATGTAGACAGAGTTAACACGTGGCTCATGAGAGCTATATAAAGCTATGAGAATTGGACCCTATTTGGAGTGAATATAGTTAGGGTAGAATTTAAAAATGTAGCGAGTTGAAGACTTTGATAGTTCGGCTGGACGAAAAAAAAAGAATTGTAGAGCGTTGTAAATAGGCAAATATGTGTAGCTGTCTATTTATGGTTTTTCTTTGGCGTCTTTTGGCTTTAATCCCAGGCAATAGATGAAGCCTAATGGCATCGAGAATACGAAGATTAATTGTTGTGTTTGCACAGTTAGTGGACGCTGTCTCTTAAACTAGACGTTCGGTTTTATAAGGGTTTCTGAGGAAGAAAATCTTTCTGCTTTTAGGAATAAAAGAGTTCTGAAATAATTCATTAATAAGCACGACATGTTTCATTACAAATATGTATCAAACACATTATTCTCAATTAAGGTATTAATGAACTCGTATTTCAATGGATGCTTGCCCGTGGCTTTGCGTCATTCGGGGAGAGCGGACTGCTAAGATTTTGTCATTTGTTCTTCACTTTAACTCATTTAGACCTGTTCGTCTCTACAATGTGAATTCCTTTAAAATAAAAGGTTTTAGATTCGAAATTTTAATATATTTTCATCGAAATACTATTGATTATAAACGATTAAAATACAATTGTCTCAATTAACAGGTAATTGAATTCAATTTACTAAATAAATATTAGTCATTAACTGATTCGAAATTGTAAAATATTTTCAACGAAATACCATTGATTATAATCGACAAAAGTATAATTGTCTCAATTAAGAATTAATTGAGCTCAAATTACCAAATAAACACAAAAAGATTTTTTCATAAATTTATTCGAAATTTTAGTTTATTTTCAACGAAATATTATTGACTATAATCGAATGCAATGTAATTATCTCAATTATTAGGTAATTGAGCTCAATTAACAAAATGAATATTAAAATATTTACTATTAAATGATTTCAAGTTTTAATATTTTTCGAGAAAATACTATTGATTATAAACGATTAAAATATAATTGTCTCAATTAACAGGTAATTGAGCTCAATTTACTAAATAAATTTAAAAATATTTATTATTAGATTATTCCAAATTTTAGTAACTTTTTAAAAAAATATTGTTATATTAATTATAACTGATTAAAAGATAATTGCCTCAATTAACTTTATCGAATAAAACGTTTACTTGCCACATCGAAATATTCATAATTTTGGATCAATTCATAATTTATATCAATATATAAAACATATTATCTACCCTAAAAATTTAATTATTAGCTTCCAAAAATATTATCTTTGGTTTGCATGTCAGTTATGAGGATTTATCTGGCTGATTATCAAAAGTTCAATGAAAGCTCCCAGTTAGTAGTACAAATAACAGAATCAGTGAGTTGCCAAAATAGTTGTCATTATTTCGTCTCACCGCATTGAGCTTCCAGTAAAGAGTTATGCAACCGCAAAGATTTCGGTGTGAATCATACATTTAGAAATCTTTAGAAAATTTAAGTAGTAACGACAGCGATTAATAACTAGTTTTATTAAATTAATAGACTAATTATGATTACGATATACACTATAAGCAGCAACACACTACATTAATAATGACTGACTTAAAAGAACAATAATACAATTTGAATTTGAAATATAAAAACTTTTTAGTTGTTATTATCTCATAGAACCTTAAAATGTGCCTTTTTTATTTGGAAAATAATTTCAGTGTTTAACCAACTATGAATTATTAAATAAAAGTTATGTAATATTGAAGAACTTGGCGTAATTGTTGTTAGAGAGTTGCATGAATTGAAGAAAGCGTGAGGTATAGTGAGAGAGAGCTTTTATTTATGCTTAAGCGCTTTAAATGTCAGAAGGGATTGTGAATTAATGAATATACTTGTTTTTGAAATATGCTTTTAAAATGTGTAAGCGGCTCACAAAGATTTCAATAAAAAGTGAAAAGCTTTCAATAAAAAGTGGTAAGAAATTAACAAAAACGTGCAAGCTTTCGATGAAATAAGTTTCAATTGCTGTAAATTTAATAAATCATAAAAGCTTGCATTGATTTATTTTAATTACACAACAAAAATGTACCTTTCGCTAGCTGGTGCCAAACAGTATATAATAAATGGAAGTTTTCGAAAAATTAAAGTTGGAGTTTTTTTTTATTTCATTTCATTAGTCTTTCTGCTATTGAAGAAAAAAACTCCTTACTGTACTGAAAATTTAAAAAATTATAAAAGCAATAAAAGCTTCTAAAAATTATGAAAGCTTTTAAGTAACTAATCAAAATAATATTTTTAATGCTTCTAATTTCTAATTATTACTTGAAAACTCATAAAAACAGTAAAGGATTTAAAAGCTTCAAACTTTACATATTGTGGAAGCCTTTAAGTTATCAACGAAATTAATATTTGTGGTTGTATTAATTTCTAATTACCGCTTGTATGAATGACTGCGATAGAAACGTAATAAGCTTACATTGGAATATATTTAAAATAAAAGTTTAATATAAGGGGACATTAAGTGACATATTTCGCTGCCAAAAAGATAAATGAAAGCTCTCAAAAGTTAAAGAACCTGTAATAATATTTTTTTTCTACACTCTTTATGTTTTAGAAGAGCTTTTGGAATACCACGGTAAAAAAGGGTCTTTAGTTTTTGTGAACTTATGTAAAAGCTCTCAAAAAGTCAAAAACAAATCTGTGGCCATTACGCTATGATTTAAATTTATATATTTTAACTTTTCGAAATCTCATGAAAACTCAAAATTACAATTATATCTTCTTTTATACCCCTTTTATGTTTTGAAGCGCTTTTGAAATGCTACAGTAAAAAAGGGACTACAGTTTTTGAAAAGAGGTGAAAGCTCGCAAAAAGTCAGAGAGAAATTTATAATCAATACGCAATGGTTTGACTTTATATATTTTAAATTTTATAAACTTTTATATTTTCTTGAAAATTCATGAGAATTCTTTCATACAATTTTTATGTTTTAGAGCTTTTGAAATACCACAGTAAGAAAGGGTGTTTATGAAAGCCCATGAAAGCTCTTAAAAACCATATAAAATTGCTGTATTTTTTTAATTGCAAGGAAACTATATTTTTTATCGTTTTAAAAGTACAAATATAAATATCTGCAAAAAAGTTTTCATTAGCAAACGCCAGAAAGCTCTTAAAAAGCCACACAATTTTTGTTGAATTACTTAATTTTTAACATGAATATACTTCGAAGAGGCTATGGTGCTTTGGAGTTTTTCGAAATTTGAAGCTTTCACATACAAATCACATACAAGTACATACTATATAACGAGTATTTAATAAAGCTTCACCTATTTTATGTAAACTAATTTTTCAGCCGTGACACTGTCATCAGTACCTTTATTTTTTATAAGAAGAAAAAAGTTGGTGTTCAGCCATAACCGGGTAAATAGGCGTAAATGGAGTTTGTCGTGAATTATGAAAAGGACTGATTTTTTAGATCGAGCACAAACACAAACGCAAAATTAATTAAAAAACTATAATCCCAAAAGTATAAAAAAACAAAAAACTAAATAATAAGTGTGCATGTTAACAAACTCACACTGAAATTTTATTAAAAAATGTAATGCAAAAAAAAAAGAAAAAATTAACAAAAGTTATTTGCGAAATTAGAAAATTGTTAAAACCATAGCAATGTTAATGTTCTTATATCTGATAGAGTAAATTACGGAAAATGTTGGTAGGCGGATACATTGCTGGTGTTATTGTGTAAGATTTGTATGTTGTGTGAATACCCCCTTTATTGACAGCGAATACGCATAGCGGATTTTCGAAAGGAAATGCAACAAATACGTAGGAATTCAAAACAGGCTGATAGACTTTAACAATGGAATTGTAGGAAAATTTATTAGATTTAAACTGTCTGCGTACTTAATGGCACAGTATGTATGAGAAACGTAGCTACTTGTTTAGCGAGAATATAGTTAAGCGTAGATATAGAAAATACTTAAATAAGTTGAAAGTAAAAAAAAATTTAAAAAAATTAAAAAAGACTAAAAAAATAACAATTTAAAAAATAGTTCATTTAATATGTATTTAACAATAGCAGATGCATGGATTTGAAGAGTTAACTAGAAATCAAGATTACACATTTGCCAAGTTCATTGAATCA